TTGCAAAAATTCCTAAGAATTGCAAAAATTTCTGAAAATTGCAAAAATTCCGGAAAATTGTAAAAATTTCAAGAAATTCCTGAAAATTGCAAAAATGCCTGAAAATTGCAAAAACTGCAAAAATGACAAAAATTGCAAAAATTCCTAAGAATTGCAAAAATTTCTGAAAATTGCAAAAATTCCGGAAAATTGTAAAAATTTCAAGAAATTCCTGAAAATTACAAAAATCGCAAAAATGCCTGAAAATTGCAAAAACTGCAAAAATTCCTGAAAATTGCAAAAATTGCAAAAAATCCTGAAAATTTCCAGAAAATTGCAAAAATTCCTGAAGATTGCGGAAATCTATGAAAATTGCAAAAATGCTTGAAAATTGCAAAAATAGCAGAATTTGCAAAATTCCTGAAAATAGCAAAAATCGCAAAAATACCTGAAAATTGCAAAAATCGCAAAAATTCCTGAAAATTGTAAAAATTTGAAAAAATAGCTGCAAATAGCAAAAATCGCAAAAATGCCTGAAAATTGCAAAAATTCCTGAAAATTGCAAAAATCGCAAAAATTCCTCAAAATTGTAAACATATCTAAGGTTGGGTTACTAGATCTGGTAACATATCCTAGGTTAGGTTACTAGATCTGGTAACATATCCTAGGTTATGTTACTAGATCTAGTAACATATCTTAGGTTAGGTTACTAGATCTGGTAACATATCTTAGGTTGGGTTACTAGATCTGATAACATATCTTAGGTTAGGTTACTAGATCTGGTAACATATCTTAGGTTGGGTTACCAGATCTGGTAACATATCTTAGGTTGGGTTACTAGATCTGGTAACATATCCTAGGTTAGGTTACTAGATCTGGTAACATATCTTAGGTTGGGTTACCAGATCTGGTAACATATCTTAGGTTGGGTTACTAGATCTGGTAACATATCCTAGGTTAGGTTACTAGATCTGGTAACATATCTTAGGTTGGGTTACTAGATCTGGTAACATATCCTAGGTTAGGTTACTAGATCTGGTAACATATCTTAGGTTGGGTTACCAGATCTGGTAACATATCTTAGGTTGGGTTACTAGATCTGGTAACATATCCTAGGTTAGGTTACTAGATCTGGTAACATATCTTAGGTTGGGTTACCAGATCTGGTAACATATCTTAGGTTGGGTTACTAGATCTGGTAACATATCTTAGGTTGGGTTACTAGATCTGGTAACATATCCTAGGTTAGGTTACTAGATCTGGTAACATATCCTAGGTTAGGTTACTAGATCTGGTAACATATCTTAGGTTGGGTTACTAGATCTGGTAACATATCCTAGGTTAGGTTACTAGATCTAGTAACATATCTTAGGTTAGGTTACTAGATCTAGTAACATATCTTAGGTTAGGTTACTAGATCTGGTAACATATCTTAGGTTGGGTTACCAGATCTGGTAACATCTTAATCAATTTTTTCAATTGGAATGCCCAGTATATTTGCATATTTTCTGAAGCATTTCTGCTTCAAAAATTCCTGAAAATAGCAAAAATTGCAAAAATTACTGAAAATTGCAAAAATTGCAAAAATTCCGGAAAATTGTAAAAATTTCAAAAAATTCCTAAAAATTGCAAAAATCGCAAAAATGACAAAATTTGCAAAAATTCCTAAGAATTGCAAAAATTTCTGAAAATTGCAAAAATTCCGGAAAATTGTAAAAATTTCAAGAAATTCCTGAAAATTGCAAAAATGCCTGAAAATTGCAAAAACTGCAAAAATGACAAAAATTGCAAAAATTCCTAAGAATTGCAAAAATTTCTGAAAATTGCAAAAATTGGAAAATTGTAAAAATTTCAAGAAATTCCTGAAAATTACAAAAATCGCAAAAATGCCTGAAAATTGCAAAAACTGCAAAAATTCCTGAAAATTGCAAAAATTGCAAAAAATCCTGAAAATTTCCAGAAAATTGCAAAAATTCCTGAAGATTGCGGAAATCTATGAAAATTGCAAAAATGCTTGAAAATTGCAAAAATATCAGAATTTGCAGAATTCCTGAAAATAGCAAAAATCGCAAAAATACCAGAAAATTGCAAAAATTCCGGAAAATAGTGAAAATTTCAAAAAATTACTAAAAATTGCAAAAACGCAAAAATTCCGGATAATTGTAAAAATTTCAAGAAATTCCTGAATATTGTGAAAA